CCAAACCCAGAAGACAAGGGGAAACATCACAACAGACACCAAAAAGATCCAAAGCATTCCCTTTAAAGTATAAGGGAATACTTTAAAAATCTGTATGCTATGGAATTTGAAATCCTAAAAGAAATGTACGGGTATCTAAAAGTATAGGCACCACCATAACTAAGCCAAGAAGAGATCAACTACTTAAACAGACCTGTAACACATAAGGAAATTGAAACAGTAATACAAAATCTCCCGACTAAAAAAAGCCCAGGACCAGATGGATTTATAGCAGAATTCTACCATTTAAAGAAGATTTATATCCAATACTACTTAAATTATTCAAAAAGATAGAAATGGAGGGAGAACTTCCAAATTCCTTCTATGAAGCCAGCATCACTCTAATATACAGGTAAAGACACAGCCAAAAAAAGAAAACTATAGATTCACATCCTTAATGAACATAGATGCAAAAATTCTCAACAACGTATGCAAATCACATACAGACCAAAAATATCATCAATGCACCATGACAAGTCGGCTTTATTCCAGAGATGTGGGGATGGTTCAATATACATAAGTCAATAAACATCATAAATCATATAAATGGACTCAAAGACAAGAACCACATGGTCATCTCAATAGATGCAGAGAAGGCCTTTGACAAAATTCAACTTCATTTATGTTCAAAGTCCTAGAGGAAATTGGACTAGAAGGAATATACATTAACATAATTAAAGCCATAGATAATATGCCCACAGCCAACATCATTCTAAATGGAGAAAAACTGGAAGCATTCCCATTAAAATCAGGAACCAGACAAGGCTGTCCACTATCTCCACTCCATTTCAACATAGTGCTTGAAACCCTTGCAAGAAATTAAAGGAGTAATAACTGGCAAAGAAAAGATCAAATTATCCCTTTTTGCAGATGTATGATATTATATCTAAGAGATGCCTAAAATTCCACCAGATAACTCCTAAAAATGATGAAGACTTTCAGTCAAGAGGCTGGTTACAAAATTAATCTATAAAAGTCTGTAGCCTTTTATATACCAACAACAAGCAATCAGAGAGAGTACATGGAAACGCACTTCCATTCACAGTAGCCTCAAAAAAAAAAAAAAAAATCTTGGGATAAACCTAACGAAAAACATTAAAAACCTCTAAAATGAAAAATTTAAATTTTTAAAAAAAAAT